CTAGGTACTTACTGGTATTTCCTGGTTAAATCAATAGCATTGGTATAGTTTACTCGTAGCACAGACTTGACAGAGGTAACATCCCGCGTTATACCACCAGAAAGACTTGTTACATCAGTACCATTAGAATACCATTCAATGTACTGAATTAATGGTTCCTTTACCTGGCACGTCAACTCGACATAGCTACCACTTGATGCTGTAAGGTTTTTATTTGACAGTTCGGTTATCTCTGGAGCAGAAGCTGTGCAAAACGATTTATATTAATTAGTTGCAATAACAAGAATATGCCACACACTATGCCACAGTGTAAATACTGCAAAACGTCTGATTATACTTACGATAGTTGCATCCAAAGACTTCAATTCTCATACACACTGCATTATTCCAGGTCTGGGGATGCACTTTGATATATCTTACTGTGAGTGGGTGACTTAACCATCGGACTGCAATACTACTTCTGTCACTGTTTCCTTGAAAGATCTACAGTGAAAAGCATGGATACCTTCGTAAACAAAGGAGGATATTTAGAATAGATAGTGACTATATACTGCAATTACCTTGGCAGTATTTCCGCCTTCTCGGTGATCATTCCATTGGATTCCATCGATACTGTATTTGATGGTGTAAGTCTTGACCCATTTCTCATCGGTGTAGTCACCCTGTGTAGCTATACCAGTCAGGGTAACCATCTTCCCAAAGTCAATCTGTATGTACTCTGAGTTTGATGAGGTACTACTGCACCATGATGTATTACCATAGAGACGTCCATCAGATGCATCATGGGAATTGTTTACTTTAGATGATGATGTTATCTTGATATTCCCCAACTTGCCACCCTTTTCAAGACCAAATAGTTTTCTGCAAGCTATAGGAAAGCCAAAATCTGAATCATCATAATATATTAATCGATAATTAGTTCAGCTATTTAATGGGTATATCAACATGAATTGGAAAACTGATCTGATCTATCTGGGCAGAAAAGAAAGGACCAAACGCAAGCTGTTGGCACTGATCAAACTCGAGTGCATTATGAACCAAGTAGCTAGTTTGATCACATAGGCTCGTGGTCAGCATCTTTCTGCACATTGCACACAGTATAACAAGCCATGAATTGAATTACATACCTAACGGTACACCATATACGTCAACCCTCATCGCTGCAAATACTTGCCAGTCCACAGGGTAAAATCTTATAAACTTAGCTCTAGTTGGAATTGTCAGAGTGTTTGTTACAATGCCGTCTTTATTTGTATTCCCTGGAAATATCTGAAACAAAAACACACCATCTTCAGTTCTTACGCCGGGTTTTGTATGTATGACAGTGGATACCGGTAACACGCGCCGAAAAAAAACACTGTATTTTTCTCTGATATATGATACTTTTTTATGCTCTCTTTTCTGTGACATGCATCTTTTTGCCAGAATTTCTTTTCCTGCATTTATTTCATAAATGTAATATCTGATTCAATGATTTTAGTGGGATGATTTGAGTCTTGCTGAGAAGTCGAGGGCAATGGCAATTAGCTTGACTATACTTGTTTAAATGAATTGTGCCGACATCAATCATTATAACAATAGCTACATCCTTTTGATCACCTTGTCTGTATTGTTTTCCTGGTAATATTTCCAATTAATATTATCATTTGACGTTCTGAGCTTGTATTTCTTGACATATTCCATAGCAGAATGGCCATTCCCTTGAGTTGCAACAGCACAAATAAATACCACAGAACCAAGATCTATGTGCAGCCAGGAACCAGGTTGTTTGCC